GGGTTTTTTGTTTTTGATTTTTTGACAGGCCAATTTTCAAGCTAGAGGGCTCAAAATCAATACAGTTCTTGCTTTTTATGATACAAAGCTTCACTTAAAATTTCAGGTACCTAGCTCAAACCGTTCTCGAGTTATCGTGCGTACAGACAGACAGACAGACAGACAGACAGACAGACACGAAACTTTTCGATCATCACTGGAGTAATAGGCTTCGCTATCGCTCAGCCAAAAATTGATTGGCCGTCCTGAACGAATTACTGTAGATTTTTACAACAGTGTAGAAAGTGCCCCCTATTGAAACTCAGCACCTAGCAGCATCCATTGAAATCTGGGAATCACCCGCCCGTATTTTCGAAAGATAAGCGGTGGACCTGTGCAGATGGACGGTTCTGTTTAAGGGGGCATACCTGTGAAAATCATCGAAAAATTCAACTTTTTTCTTTAATGCCTCAAAAAATTCTTTGATCTTTCCTCTTTCTAATGCCGCAAAGCGGATGTTGAAATTCGAAAAATTGCGCTGAGGAGAGCCCAAAACGTGCTGCGGGTGGTCGGGTGGCTAGACCGCTAGGGCTCGCCTGGACCCTCAGGACAGGATACACGACGAGGAAGGAGTCCTCTAGAGACCTGGAATCTTTTAGGACCAGTTCAGTATGTTGCCCTGGCTTTAGGTTCGTCGCTATACATAGGTATTGAAAACTTAAAACTCATTTTTCTCGGAATGACTTTTTGCAAACGGTGTGCAACCTCCAGGCTGTAGATTTGGAGCTATCGACTTAATATTTTGCCCGAATGTTGTCCATTTATGTGCCCACGATCTGGCAAGGGCGATTTAATCTAACTCAATTGCAAGGTACCCAAACCAGGGTAAAAGTACCCAAATTTTAACCCATTATTTTGTACTCATTTTTTGGATTTTTTTTTTCAAGTATTTCGGAATGAAATATCAAAAAAAAAACTCCTGTCAGATCCTAGATACATGTTTTAAGAGAATCTAGCAATGTTTTTTCACTGTTGCAAACCCAACGGTTCAGGCACAATCGTGCACACCGCAAAGACCTACATCGGCTCCAGTTCAAAGCCATGCTGGCCATGTTTGTGGAGGGGTCGGCACCTCTCAGTGGCCAAATTGTGGGGCCATCTTTACTTTATATTTGCGCGCAGTACTAAACCCCTGAGTTGCCCCGTTTTTTAAACATAAATTTTTCACCAAACCCTTGTATTTCACAGGTCTGCCCCCTTTAAGCCCTTAGTAATGAGCGAGTTTGTTTGGACGAAATACAGATCAGTGCACATTGATACGAGGTACCGCTATTACGGATGACACTATATTTTAGGCGTTCTACCGTAAGACCTGAGGCAGGACTTTGTTTTGCCAGTGTGATCGAAAATCGTGTTATAAAAACATAATTTGACTAACAGAAAAAAATAATAATGTCGGCTTATTTTTTAGGTGACAATGTTCCACTTTGATTATCCTCAAGCTCTAGAAGACGCTTTCGGTGGATGGCTAGGTAATGAGATGTTGGATGAGTTTGAAGCTTACGCTGATTTTCTGTTCAAGGAGTATGGATCAAAAGTATGTATCATAGCAACACACGGAAAATTAAAGACCTTGTACATAAAGCGACGTTATATATCTTCAGTGCAGAGATGATCTTTTACCCGATTCCAGGTTGACTGTGTACAATCGATCAAAGTGTCAAACCACGAAAGCTCTGTCATTTCAAATGCGTACATTGTATGGTTTAAATAAACCGTCCATGGAATGAATACTTTAATTTGTGCATACGATGCCATGTACTTACCCATGTACACATTCCGAGGTACGCATCTACAAAAGCAACCATGGCATGTACACATTAAATAAACTATACGATGCACGCATTTCGATTAATGGAGTGGTGGCATTTTCAAAATAGTGTCCGTCTCCCTCTACCAACCCAGGTGTTAACCGTTTACAGATTAGCATCGGTTGGGTATACGGCGGCTGGATAAGCAGCAGAGGCGATAATGCTTAGTGTTCCTTTAAGACATCAAAACGACAAATAAAATAATAGTATATTCAATTTTAAAAAATGGCCCTACTCCTCTTCATAACCGTACTTTTAAGAAATACTATAAAAAAACACTGCTCATCAAAATTAGCGGGAGGATTTTTGCAACAAACGTAGTTTCTAGGTTATTTTAGCTAGGAAGCTGAGATTTGGCATGCAGGTGTCCGAATCATTCAATCATAACATCGGTCCGTCGGCCGCTGACGTCACCGCAGGCTCCCAAGACTCTGCGGCCTTCGAGATGAAGGTTGAGCCGAGGTGGTACGCCATAGATGGGCTCGCTACCCCACCTCAGTTCGGCGAAAGGGTAGGTTGAACTTGGGGGTGGGTTCTGAACGATTTGCCAGTTTATCCATTCTGGAAGCGGAAAGGTTGGTCCAACCGATACGAAACTTTGAGGTAAGCTGCCTTCGATTGTTCTTTAGCAGATCCGCATGGACCCTACCCTCCATCTCCTTCCAAAGGGGTGCAGGGCCAGTCCGGGTTAGCTACCCCCTGGGAAAGACACTGGGTTTCTCAGCATGGATGTGTTTAAAATGAAAAGAGTAACCTTTCCTGAAACTTCAACCCTAAGGATCCGAAATAGACGATATTCAGAAAGGAGTTGCACGTCACGTTCACGGGGGTAGTTTGGCCGAAGGTTGTCCGATTCGAAAAAATCATATGGGCTGTGTACAGGAGATATCGAGCTGGTATTGACTAACCACAAAACTCACCCCCTTCAGGAGGTCGGGGTGAATGTGGGAGGGGGTTGGTTTGTCCGATCGCAAATTCGCTTGCACCGTTCGAAAGACAACAAAAAGTTGAGTCCATTCAGGAGAAATCTTGACTTTCCGAGCACGTACAGTGCCCTCCTCCAGCCTAGCGGGTGCACAGCTCGTTGGAGGTGGCCAGCGGCTTGCGCTTTTCCTGAGCCTCGAGATGAAAGATTGGGACGCCTGCATGCCAAATCTTAGCTTCCTAGCTCAAAAATATATAAACTACGTACGTTGGGAAAATCCGCCCGCTAATTTTGATGAGCAGTGTAGACCAGTTT